ACATGGTGGCACACTCCTCTAGCTCCAGCTACACATGGTGGCACACTCCTCTAGCTCCAGCTACATGAGTGGATGGGGTAAAATGGCAGCCTGAGCCTAGGAAGTAGGACCAGTCTGGGTTAAACAGAAAGGCCCTATCTGAAAGAACAAAACAAAAAGTTTTGATATTTTCATAAATAACAATTAACATTACAGGATAGCATTCTGCCATATTTTCATTTATAAGCCTAACCACAGTAAAAACAAAACTGTTGTTAGTTCTATGCCACAGTCACTAAATATATTTAATTTCATATTAATATTTTACTGTTTTATATCCCTTTAGATTCTATCTATACTCTCAAAGGTAACATTTGGAACCATCATTTCAATTCAAATTGTAAATGACAAAATTTCAAATTTTGGGGGGGAGAGGAACTTTTTGAAACAAGATCTTATTATGTAACTCAAGATGCCCTTGAACTTGCTATGTACCCAAGGATGGCCTTGAACTTCTAATCCACCAGTCTCTAGTTCCCAAAGGCTCTGCTTACAGGCATATGCCACTACATCCACTGAAAATCCTCACAGGTTGCAATAAAATAATTCTTTCAATACATTTTATGGATAACATCTAAAATTACAGCTGTAAAACAAGTTAGAAAAAAATGGCTACCAAGCAGGGTGAGACTATCCTAAAAAGAAAAGTCAAGTTTTATAGTATCTTGATAGTTAATGAAAATCATGGGTTTCATTCTCAGCTTTCACTTAACAGCAGTTGAACATACAATGTTCCCATTTGTAAAATGAAAATGATAGAAATAAAATGCAACAGAAAGGTTGTTGTAAGAATTAATGAAATAATAAAGGTACTCAGTGTTGCACTGTTCATAGCTTCCTCCTCTCCTTTACACTCCCTGCAGATGATTCAAGAGAAACATAGACTGGCATCTAACAATGAGGCAAGGGACAGGCTGTCTTCAGGTGAATTAAATTACAGGCATGAATTGGCACTGGGAATCCAACCCCATCTCATAGACTATCACTTCTAAGTTCATTTTGGTTTTTGTTTTTTTAAATATCACAGACTAGAAAATGACCTAGTTTGGGCTACCAGGGTTAATGGACTGTCAACTTTTCTTTGAAAGATTTACTTCTAAGCCTCGGAAAAATGGCTTTTTAATACAGAAAATAAGTAAATTTCTATGAGTAAAACTGAATAAATAAAAAGAGAATTTCTTGAAGTAGAAGCTGAATCAATGGGAAGATCTAACTCCTCTAAGCTCTGATTTTATTCAGGAAGAGTGTCTATCTAAGCTGTCTCTCTAGGCCAGTTTCTCTCTACATGTACTCTTCTCTAATGCATGAGAATGAGAAAATAGCAGGGACGCTGTTCCTTGCCTTCTAATCCCAGTGAGACGCTTGTTCAAACTGTAATGCAGAGGGCAGAACAGTAACCCAACAGTGTCCACCTAAACAAACAGCTGGCCATGATGCTTCAGTGGGAACATATAAACCAAATTTTGAAAACATTATGAGCTAAGTTTTTGTTAGCAGAGCAAACATACATTAATGATTAAGTATGAATTATGATCATTTATGATCAAAATAGAGACCAGTTTTCTATGAACTTGTTACCATGTTTCTGAAGATATGTGTCCTCTTTCAAAGAACCCGCTAAAATGCTCAACAATAAATTTAAGGCAGCTTTATACAAAAATAGAAAACAGGAAAGTAAGTTATGGAAGACAAAAGAAAATTCACCTAGAAATTAGGAAAAAAGGGGGACTATAGAATAATTCAATGATTATTTCATTTTTCCCCTTGGAATGTAAAGTTAATCCTAAAGAAAAGAACTTAAAGGAAGGTGAGAATTCACAGGGCAATGGTTTTACATGTAAAAGCTAAGCCGAGGAATTGAACTGTAGGACACAGGTAGAGAGAAGAGAGGATCCAGGCAGAATAGAGAGGGAAGCAACTGAGAACTAAGTATAATGGAATATATGTTTGAAGATATTAGATCAAATCCCAATGCTTAGTATTACCAATCTGAAAACAAACAAACCTTAGCCTAAAAATGAAGCATTGTCTATTATTCTTACATTCTGGAACATATTTAGTGTTCATTTGTTATGTATTCTCTAAGATGATTAAAACATACACATTGCACTAAGTTTTACCTGTTGTATTAAGATTTAATAGAAAAAAATCTGATATACTTTACATGAAAGCAGCATTAAAAGATGAGAAAAAATTGTATACCAAAAGTATGATCAACAACTAGCTCTTCACCAATGCTCTCCTTCAAAGACTCTCAAATGACTCTGAGGCCAGCCTGGCCTACAAGAGCTAGTTTCAGGATAGGCTCCAAGGCTACAGAGGAAACCCATGTCAAAAACACGAAAAAAAAAAAAAGACTCTCAAATGTTTATAAAACATTATAACAGTTGCTTTTAACAGGACTTACAGCAATTTTTTTTCTCAAAAATGTGCAGAGATGACTAATTAGTAAGTCAGACATCCCAAACAGATGCATGTCTTCAGAAGTATGCTAGAAAGAATTGATAATAAACTTGAATTTTTATATTCATTTAATCCTAAGTGTGCTTGAATTACTTTATGTAATTACTTGTAATTCTTTGAATTATACTTGCTCTATTAAAACACAAATCATGTTTTCAAGAGAAAGGGTTAATATTTTCCCATTGAAAGTATTTATAAATTTTGCCAAACATTAGGTGACATTTATCATTACAGAGCCTTGTATGACCAAAAAAAAAAAGTTATTTTGTTGTTGAGCCAAAAATACAAGGCTGTACTTATCAAAACAGTAGTCCAAAAGCCAAACTGTTCTAGAGATTCTCAACGCGAAAGCAGCTTTGGGTCCTTAATAAAATAAGACTGCCATTCTATTGACAGAATTTCTGCATTGTATAAATTCTCATTTACTCTAGCTTCAAAGTCTTCAAAATGAGAACCCTTTTCTGAAAATGTTATACCACCCTTCTTTTGCTTTTTCTTTCTTTCTCTTTTTTCTTTTTTTCTTTTTCTTTTTTTTTTCCTTTGAGACAGGGTTTCTCTGTGTAGCCTTGGAGCCTGTCCTGGCACTTACTACATAGACCAGGCTAGCCTTGAACTCAGAGATCCACCTGCCTCTGCTTCTCAAGTGCTGGGAATAAAAGTGTGCGCCATTACTGTCTAGCCACTACGCTTCTTTTAAAAACTTAGGTAAGAAGATCAATGGGTGGGCAAAATGCTATTAGTGACACTTAAAATTTTCAAAATAAAGGTCTGAAAAGGACAGAGCCATACCTCAGGGGCGTTATCCAGACTGTACTGATTTAAAACGTGCAAATATGAAAGCCCACAGAAAAAGATAGGTACCAGTTTGCAGAAAATGCAACTCCAAGTACCTGTGCTCAAGCAACAAAGGTGTGTTCCTGGAAGCTCTTTTGCAGGAAGTGCACAGGTAAAGACTATTCTCATGATGCTATTAATATACTACCTGCTTTTTTTCCCTCTTCTCTTGTAACTGAGTGAAGTGTTCTAGAAGCTACCTAAAGTCAGTGTTACCAACTTAACAACTTGTCTGCTTCTCTATTGTGTTTTCGTTTTTACAGTTTCTAAGACTAATTTGAAATTGCAAATGTCAATAGATAGTCAACCTAAATAATACTGCAAGTCTTCAATAACATCTAAATGTTTAGAAGCATTCCTCTATGTGCATGAGGCATGTTGAAGCCAAAAAGTGAGTTATAAAAGGGCCCTGGTCAAAAAATGTAAATTCCCCTATGAAAACTGAAAACTGTTAAGGTTTCAGAGCACCATTTAATTATAGACAACCCACACCACTTCTCTGCAAATCGGCTTCCAGTTAAAAACTAAATATGATATTCTTGTTTGTATTTCTAAAGCCATACTTTCTGCTGTTTCTACTACAAAGGGGAATCTGACAGTTAAAAGGAAAATGGAAAAAAATGAAACCTCAAATACGTACTTGTTAGCTATAAGGACTAGTAAGATTGACCCATAAGGCAGCAAGAATAAACTTCAAACATCTTTCTATAAATACAAGATCATATAAATAGAAAATTTAGATTTGTAAGTAAGAATCTAAACACTAATTTATTAACTAAAATTGAATGTCTAGTTTAGTTTAACATGATTTAAATATAATTAAAATCATCATAAAATTTTAAAGAATTAAAATAGTTGGAGGGACAAAAACTGTAATCAAGCATTTAAGCAGGAGGCTATTTTCACAGAGATTAGCTTTCTGCAAGTTATTCTATATGGGCATTTTCTTAAGAATACTTTGGAATCTCATCCCAGAAATATCTTGGGACACTTAAATCTAGGCCCCATTACTTACCAGAATTTTTAATTTTTTTCACCAGAAGGGAAAAAAACTAACCCACATATATGATCTTGAAATGTATTATAAAACTTAAGTCTATTAAAACACTGTTGTCAAGTAGAGGTAATTAAAAGATAAATACATTTCTACACATATGCAAGTATCCCTACAGATTACTAAGAATCTCCTCCATATGCCCTCTATTGTTAAATTACTTTTGTGGATATTAACCTACTAAACATGGAACATGAAGAGATGCTACCAAAAGTAAGTTCAATCAATAGACCTAAAGTAAGTGCTAAATGCTATAAAAATAAACTAAACAGATAAATGCACAATCTAATTATTAACAAACCATAAATAAGCCAAAATGGCATTAGCAATATGGAACATTTTATGCTACAACCTTAAAAAGTACCACACCATCTCCTCAAATGAGTTTTCCTTTACCTAAAGATAAAAATTAGCTTAGCATTGGAAGCAGGCAATGTTCTTCATAGGAATGAGGGTAACCTGAAATTAATCGGTATTTATAATGCAAATAATAAGATGTTATTTCACCTCTGCTGACATGGAATCCCTGAGTTTGCTATATATTATTTAAGAGGAAAAGAAACCTACAAAATTGATAATAAGCCTGGTTACAATAGACAAACACTACTCTATAAATCTGTAAGCAGAAAAGTATGAAAGAATAAATAAAGCAAAGAAAATCTACCAGTATAAGCTACTTCAATGATATGAAAAACAAAAAAAAAATGGTGAAGAAAATTTTGTTGACATAAACACAGTAACGGAAATGACAGAATTAATACAGTTCTACATGTGATGTAACAGATACATCTACATGTAAGACAGCAACTCAATCTTTCTTTTGGAAGGAAAACATATAGGCACACAGACAGAGACACAGATATATTTAACTGGAGTCTTGAACGTTGCACCTCTGGACCAATGGGTAAACCTAACGTGCAGTAGAACTTCAATGGCAGGACTGAAGTCATTACTGTTGCTTCAGAATAGAAACGTTTGTTCTATGGGGGAATTATTTGCTTTCATTTTTACTTCTTTGCAGAGAATTTGCTCAATAAATATGTTTTTAAAAGTACATTTTACCTTCACACACATAAAGCAAAGCATTGGTGACTATGCTGATGACTGTTACAGTTGATGACTTAACCCTTTAAAACAACTCTACAAATCTGAGGGGAAAAAAATGAACTATTTGCTGTTCTCTTCTAAAGTATTCAAAAGCTTTTTATTTTTATGTGGCTATGGACAAAATTATGCTGGAAGAAGTCTCTCCTACCATAACCCACTCTGTGCCAGTTAGCATCTACAAACAGGAAAATGAGAAAAATGGGAATAGAGAACTATCGTTTCCTAAGTCTAGAGATAGAAAAATGTTTCTCTACATATTCTTCTCCTTGGAGACGGAAACTACAAACTCCTGGGGAATGTTGACAAATGGTGGGTAATTAAAAGTTTGTTGACCAAATGAATGAATGTTACATTTAGGGTGTTCATTCACACCCACAACTAAAGAAAAATTCAAGGAAGCCACTTACTATAAGTAGTGAGTGAGAGAGTTCCCTTTTCCCCAGACAGACAGATATCATAAAAATCGGGTTGCTCTACCTCATTACTCTTGCTCTGAGATAGGGTCAGGCTATCATTGGTCAGTTCCTCATCATCAGCACTGTTTCTGCTAAGAACTTTACTCTTCTTCTTCTTGCAGCCCACTTCGCTAGCAGGGCTGCTATGGTCCTCATCATTGCCCTCGTCATTCTCATCTTCATCACTCCCACTTCCCTCATCTTCATCGTCCTCATTGTCCCCGTCACTGCCGTCCCTCTGAGAGGCCGCCCTCCCCTTCCTCTTCCCCACAGTGGGCCTCCAGTCGTTGTCGTCCGCGCTGTCATAATCGTCCATGTCGTTCAGCTCTTCCATGGATACAAAGTCCAAAAGGGGCCGGTTGCGACGAAGATTCCATTTCTTGGGCTCACTGACTTGGGCCTCGGTGGCGGCGGTGGTGGTAGGGACAGAAGGGGAGGTGACAGCGGGAGGACTTGTGGCTGTGGTGGCCGCAGCAGAGGCAGCTGCACTATCAGATACTGTTGCCTTTTCTTTCTCTTTTTCCTTTTCTTTCTCCTTTTTCTTTCTAGGTCTTTCTCCATTTTCTTCTTCTTCCTTCTTTTCCATTCTAATTAACTGCTTACCTGACGGCACTATTTCTTCCTCTGTACAATTTTTAAGCTGCTCTTCTCTGACTTTAATATCTTCACTCAGTTCTTCTTCTAAAATGTTTTCCTCAGAATCACTACAGGAGCCTTCTCCACTGTCCTTTGAAGGGTCTTCACTTCCATTACCACTCCCTTCAGAATCTGTCGAAAATATGAGAAAAAAAAAACCACACATATGTATATACATACACACACACACACAACACTGACACAAATGAAACCACCAAAACTTGTGAATAACTTGCAAAACAATATAAACAAATCTACAGCAAAGGATGGTAGACATTCCCAACCTCATTAAATAATAAGTCAACAAAATTGATATATGATTTAATCCAATATGAATTAATGAAGATGACATATGAAATCTAAGTTAGAATATACTATAAGAATAGTACTACCATTTTATATCGAATAGCTAATAACAGTACAATGTCCTAGAAATAGTTTTATTTTCTAAAAGTATGTTTTAACGGGCACTTGATTATAACTTTATCATAATGTAATTTAACTAATCTTTGTTTATATCCTTCTTTCATAAAATATGCATACTTAAACTAATGAATCACAAATCAAACAAGAAAAATTTAGCCCTCTAAAATTGTCTGATTTATTAAACCTTTTTCTATCAAAACAAACATAAACATTTGATAGTGAACTTGTAGCAGACAATGTTACATCAAGTACAAAGGTGAAAATGGACAAAACCAATGGCACATAAGAAAATAGAAGATGAAGGAAAATTTCTGTCTTCCTGCTTAGTAGAATACTGCCCATATCAATAAATGTGTCATGTAAACTTTTGTTAACTTCTAACTATTAAATGCCCTACAATGGAAGATGCTCATGAAGAAATGAATCTGTCCTAAAATGCCCAGCTCCCTGCTACTGAACAAGTAAACTATGATTATTGGGTAGATCATGCAAGCTTACAATTAGCAAGCTGCTTCCATGCCCACCAAGGGCGGCCAAGTCCATCTGAACCCAGCACTTACTCTAATCTTGTCTGAACACAAGCCAAAGGTAAAAATTTTAAATATTTGAACAGGAGGACAAAGGAAAATGGAGAAAGAGGAGGGAGAAACCGTTTTTATACCAATTGTAAAATCTATAGGAAAATAAATTGTCTGCATCTATAGTCAAGAAAATGGAAATGATAAAATAGTGCAAAGCATTACTTTACTGTTTTAACTGTTTTACTGTTAAAAAATTACTGTTTCTATAAAATTTTAATTTCAATGAATTTAATTTTCCTTCACTTTTAAAATTAACTGGGAATTGAAGGTGCAAAGGTTAGAAAAGCTCAGTCATCTCAGAAGCCCCTTATCCTGTGTGCTAGTTAACTCATGCAAGAAATGAAAACAACAGACGCTGAATGACCCAATGAATTTACTATCAACCTCACGACTATCAGCTTATTCAGTAGTGTTCTGAAGGAAGAAACAAAAGAACAAAAATCGCCCTTATTCTAAATAATCTCACACAAGGCAAACATGCGCTATCATACAAGCTAACAATTCTCTAGGTTTCAGACCTTTGGAGCTAGGTATGTGTGCTGAAATTTAGGAATGATCATATTTTACAAAGGTAATTTGAAATATGAATAATATATTACATTAATACCACATTAATATCTAAGGTGCTATCAAATATAATAAACAACAAAAGGTACAAATATTCACAATGTATGAGAAATGACACAAATCAACTGTCTGTTTTAGACCAATTTTACTGTAAAAACAAGTTTCTGCCAAACTGAAGAAATTCTTTAAAATGTTGAGCTTTACAGATTTAAAGAGCATGGACTCAATTTCATTCCCAGGCAAGTGACTTGATTTCAGCTGAACAATTCTATAAATGATTAAGAAAAATTGGATTTTTACACCATTCACAATAACTGAACTTAACCTACAAAAAAAAATCAATCCTAGCTAAAATCAACAATGATTTCTACAAATTTCTAAGAAATGGTCTTCTAAGAAATAAGCAGAATTCACTAAATACTTAAGAGGCAGAAAAGGATCTCTTGTGCATCAGCTAAAGAAAAGTGTGACACCTTACAAGTGCCACCGCAATCAAGAGGCTAAACAGTATAGACAAAGGGGAAGAGCCTACTCTTCTGGATCAGTCTGCAGAAGGGATTTTAACAAGAACGTAATAGAAGATACATAACTTCTCCTAGAAGCTCCTAGTACAGAGTATGGGTTCACGATGAGAACAAACTTTGTAATACCTGGTAAACTTTACAAATGTCATGGAGTTTGTAATTTTATTTTTAATGTCAATACTAATGTCAATTATTTTCAAATACAGGGGTAAGCTAACGTTCTTTGATCTTGTTTTGCTTTATAACCATGTTTGAGCACAGTGCAATTTTAAAATTCAATTGTTTGATATTCTTCTTCAAATTCAAATACTAGGTGCTTGCCAAACTTTTTCTTCACCAAATGTAACATCTTAGCTATAGTTTAACAGGGCCAGGATCGCTGGAAAAGTAACTTTTTCATCTGATTAGCCATTACTTCTATTTGGTACATATTCATTTGAGGAACAGATATATTTATTCATAAGCACAGATGAAAAAAACCAATAATGAGAAATGAGGTCCATACCTGGCTACATATTTAAAGGCTGCAAAAGAAAAGCACCGCTATTACTACAACATCAAAGAACAACTATCCCCCATGTTGCCTTCCAAATCTATCATTTCGCATAGGAGAAAGGAAATAATAGAGGAAGGAGGCAAAGAAGGAAGGAAAATTAAAAGTGTGAAAAAATTAGCCAGATACTGCAAATAAAACTATCGTATGCATAAGGACAGAGTTAATTAATCCCCACATCTACAATGAATTTTTTTACATTTTTAAATGAGTTTAAAATTAAAATTCAATCCTTCATTTAGTTACAGAATTATGAAAAATAACCCTTCAAAACACACAGTATATCAGGATCACTCAAAGAAACAGTCATTTCAACTGTTAGTTAAGGAAATTTTTTTAATTACAGAATTAAAAACAAAGCTTCAAAACTCCCTTGACAATATTCACTTAATAATATGAATTTAATAATCAACAATAAGTATCATTACAACACTCATTTTCTTAATCATGAATATAAAATAATAAAATCAGTACAATTGAGAGATTTCCAACTATGAAATACAGCCTTTGTCCAATAATTCTATAACCTTAGTCATTCTTTTCATTGGCAAGAATTAGTAGCATAAACTAACACAGTAACTAACAGAGCCTAGAATCATCTTTAAATAATTTGGTTTCTTCTCATAGAAGTCCATCACTCAACAAAACTCATTCTCTCCTGACTCTAGTTACAGGCTGTGCCATCTTGCCATATTCTGGGTAAATCCAAAGCAGAGCTTCTCTGGGATGGGTAACTCTTTCTCTAAAGGACATGCACTAGCTCCTGGAAACGCTGGCAGTCACACAGTAGGTACAAGTGGGGAAGACACTGGCATCAAACACAAGACAAAGATACTCTAAACATCAACTCTATACTACACAGGACAAACCTCCACAACAAAGAAATTGTCAACACAAAATGTCAAGAGTGTCAAGACTTTCTGAGAAATCCACATCTAAATTGAGATCTCAATAGTCTCACCGTCCTCTACACATGTTTCTTTCACCATTCTTTTGACTTGGGCCTAACCCCACTAGAAATAACATTTCCATGTCTCTGCATCTTTAACATTTATTGTTTCTCTCACCAAGACTGTTTTTCTCTTTATTTTTCTTAGTTCACACCTCCTTCCCTAGCTCCTCAATGAAGATGACCTATATCAACCTAGTCAAAACCAATCCTTTTGCCTCCAGAAGACTTGAACCACATACATAATCAACTATTCCCTGTATTACCCATCATTTAATAAGTGCAATCTATTTATCTGTGATTTCCCTATAACGTTCAGAAAAGTGTTAAAATTAAATGCTAATGAATACAACTTGATCAACAAACACAGAGTAAACAAAAAGCACTACCAAAAAAAACAATTACTGAAGTATCAACCTGCCTCTTCTAGTTAGATTACTTCCAGGCAAAATGTCCTCACTGTATTAACTAAATAACCCATCAAGATCTGGGTTATTTATCCCAGATAAAATCCCAAAAAAATATGGGATTTTTGCTTTTGCTTTGCATAACAAAGAAAATAGGAAAGGTCAGGACACTATTAATTTATATTGTTAGTAAAATGAACGAATGCACACATCTTCAAAAAGCTTTCAATGCAGATAACAGAAAATTATCCCTAATCCCAGGCACAAATCAAATCAAATACTTTACTTAAGCGAAACAAAGAGTTCATGTCCAGTATCGGGCTGGTTTAGAACTACAAAATCAGTCCCTTGTATGCGGTTCCATCTAGCATTTCCACATACGGTTCTTCTGGTGGCTAGTACCATAATTTTACCTGTGCCCTGTCTTAGAGCATGCTTATTTCACTGCCCTCAATCAACAATGAGAGGAAGTAGTGCTGATCTAGATAAGTCAATATCTCAGCTGTGAGGAGCACCAACATTCCTGAGGCAAAAGTGGGGAAGAAAACTCGCATGCCACTGACTATTATTTTAAATAAAACCATTGACCACTAGCTCTTTTTCACAGTAACATTTCCAAAACTGCAAAAACAAATCTGTGACCTGAAATCTTAAGATCATGGATATAAAGTCGCCAGGAGTCTGGGCAGTAAAAAACTGGGAATTATACAACAAGGAACAGAATGTATGAAATTTGAGTGCTTTTAGGGGATATATATTAGCCAAATATAACATCTGTTCAACAATTATTCGTACTTATCAAGGTTGGGAATCTTGACGTGACTTGATACCATACATTATTTTTAAAGAATCTTATAAATGTATCTGGATTGTTCCATGCCTTGTAAAGAGAATGCTTGTGAATGACTCCGCCTCAATAACTGAGAAAATAAACCTATCAAGTCAGAATTTATCGAAACAAAACCATTTTTGAACATTTAAAGAAAGTTTTAGAGTTTGTTTCATAAATTCCTACCTTCTAAGTGGTACCAATTTTTGTCGGTTTAGAGTCTCACTGACACATCAATACTACCTTTTAGCAAAGCATATTCCTGCTAGTCTTCTCTAGGAAGAAGACATTTGCATTTCACCTCCTCTCCCTTTCCTTCTTTGAAAGTACCAAACACCAGTGAATCAACTAAATAGGAGATAAAGAGCTGCAAAGTAAAGGTTAAAGAACAGTTAATCAAGACAAGCTTATTAAATGTTGATTGCTGGACTCAACTCAGCAGTTACCGCAATCTCCAAGCCATTGTGACTTGAGATTACGTCAACCCACTCTTCGGTTCTGAACAGCGAAAAGATGAAATGTTACAGTCAGACCCATCGGGTCCATCAATTTATGAATACCCTCCTGAGCAGTCGTTTAAACTCAGTACTATACCCAGTACAGAACCCCTGTGACTCTAAAGAACTATCTCCATGAAGAGCTATTATAAAATCTATAATGCAAACTGTTTGCTGATGCCATTAAGAGTAACACAACTCAAACTAATTCCCTGCCCTCTCACTACCTTTAGAAGCAGAGGAGAGCCAGAGAAAGGGAGCAAGATGTTTCAAAATACCAAACTGCATGATGGGATACTAAAAACATTTTAGAGGGCCTGAAGTATTGCTCAGCCGGAGAGCAAGAGCAAGGTCCTGAGTGTAAGTCCACTACTTCAAGAGTAAGGGATGAAAGTAGAAAGGTTCTCACTTTATCTAAATGTTCATCAAAGCAGCAGAAATACCAAAAGTTTTCAATGCTCATGTGTTTGCTGATCTTTTTCAGATATAATTTTATGTTTCTCAGTTTCCTTTAACTAAACCCTAATATAACTAAATTTAACCCTAATTTAACTAAAAACCCTAATTTAACTAAACTCTTCACTAAAATATATAAGCATAAATGCATTTTAGGGTATAGGACAGAAAAAACTGCTTCTGCGTCTTTGAAAAGGGGTCTTCTGTACCAGATAACCATAGCAGGATCTAGTGAAAGGATCTTGGGAAAATGCGGGAAATCAAATGAACAAAATAAATGGTATGTGTGCTTTTACTGTAAATGAGCATTTTAATCAAAACTGATTCAAAAATTAAAGTTAAAAATACACGGAACCGGAGAAAGGTGCGAAGGGGAAGGAGGAAGGAAGCGTTTACCTGAAGCATCTCCAACTTTAAAATCACTGTCATCTGAACTATCATAATCGAGAGCTTCCAGAAGAGAAGCTGCCAAAGGCTTCACCTGCCTCCTCTTGGAGCTGCGATCCACTGTTAAGAGAAAATATTACAGTCATTTTACAATCTCACCGAACAGGGAGAGCTGAGATGCTAAAGACGGTAGGGGTGACATCGTGCAAGGACTCTGAGTTCTCAACACAGTGCTTGGGGAGAAGTTGGGTTTGTGGACGCTGACTGCAGAAGGCCAGGTTGCCCCTGTGGTGCAGCCACGACCAAACCAGCCAACCCTCGCAGACCCCCGCCTGACACACCTTCGAGGGACCGGCTTCAGTAACTACTCGGGAATCCCTCTTAGACCCCGCAACGGACAAAAACGTACACCCACTGCAACCCAGAAGCCAGGGCTCACTCCCAGGGGTCCGTTTGTCAGGCAGGACCCACCCAGTCCTCCGGGCTCCGCAAGCCCTGACTTCGGGAAGGGTCGGGAGGGGCCGACCAAGGCCTCGGATACACTTACTAAGGAATCCGTGAGGTGGTCGTTTGGAGGAGACCTAGGGAGAGGCTGCAGGAGGCAAGGCAGCGGGAACGCGCGGAGGGCCGCGGAGACCAGTCCGAGAGCGGCTATTTAAGCGGGGCGGTGCGCCGGCCGAGCAGGGGCGACCCCGGGGGCGGGCCACCGTCCCTCCCCACCCCCACCCCGCCCCTTCCCCCGTGCTCCCGGGTCAGAGGCGCCAGGCCCGCCCGGCCGCCCGGCGAGGGGAGCTGCCCCCGTAAAAACCAGAAATAAAAAGAACAGAAAACTTTATTATCCTGCACCAGAAGACAACAAAAGACCCAGAATCCCCACAGTCTGAGGGCGACGGGCTGAAACAATGGGGAGAGCAACGACCCGGATACAGCTCTGACGAGAAGGAAGTAAAAAACCAAACCACGAGCTAAAGGGCCGCTGCAAGCGGCAGAAACGGAGCGCGCGTGCGCAGACGCGCTCCCTCCCGGGAGAGAGCCGAAGGTAGACGAGGGAAGCCGAGTGAAGCCGAGAAACGTCAAGACAGAGTTTCGCGCACAGCCCCAAAACTCCGCCCATAGCCTCAAGAGAGACTAGACCTCCCTGAAACTGTCCTCCCATCTCCTTCCAGTCATGTAAGACCAATGCTGAGTCTGGTTTGTGTTTTTTAAGATTTTAATTTTTTCATTAAAGGACTACTAAAAACCATAACTGATATCTACAACCCCATCACCTCCTACTGCTTCCTTGAACTGCTCTTCCTTTAATAGGAATGCACAAAAATATGTTTTCTGCCAAAGGTCTGTGAATGAGAATTTTATGTCAGATACAAAGGAGTTTTGGTTTTGCTTGTTTGTTTGTTATTGTTTTATAACTAAGATCCTGATCATGACTAATTATTTTGCTGTGTCCTCGGAGTTTGTTTCTTAATGTAGTTACCAGCTATTCCTCTCTCCTGAAGATAAACTGTCCTGCCTAGCCCTCAACCTCTTCTCTGTCAGATCCTATAACTAAGCCTTCCAAGCTACGAGGAACATTATAATATTTAATAAATGATTTATGACCCCTCACACATATGTACAAAATGTTATGCCTAGCCAGTAGGGTAAACCCTGAACAAGAATTTCTAGAAAAAAAGCTGTGTCTACGCCAGATAATTTTATTAAAACTGATTAAACTCTGGAGAGATTGGGAAGTTTTAATTCCAGAGCTTTATTACCAACTAACCCAGTCTATAGCTGAGCTACTAAATAGCCATTCCTTTCGCACCTTCATGTCAGATCTAACAATGTGTGACTAACAGATAGAAGTCATTTTGGTGTGGGTTAACTGAACAAAACACTAGTTTTTCCACCAATCAAGGGGCTAAGAATGTTGATAGATAGCATCCAGAGTGTGTTACAGAGTTCCCTCCATCTTGCCATGCCTGGTACACCCACCAAAGTATGTGAAAACTGTCATGGTGTATGGCTTTCTTCTGTTACTAAAAACAGTTCATGCAATCACTACCTCTTTGGAACGTGATAACATGGTGTTTGGAGGGACCTAAGTCTATGTACCAGATGCAGCAGTCATATATCAATTTCAGAAGCCACATTCTGTTCTAAAGAAGCTAATAAAATATTAGGATCTGAAGCAGTCTCAGTATGATAGTCTTTAACCTGCTCTTTATTGAGATTAGGCCAAGGTTTGAATTAAATCTACTAGATTCATTCATTTATTCCACAAATATATGATGAATGGTGGTATGGGTAGCATGGGAAATAAAATGTTTGGAAAAATTGAAAATGAGCCGGGTGGTGGTGGCACATGCCTTAAACCCCAGCACTTGGGAGGCAGAGGCAGGCGGATCTCTGTGAGTTTGAGGCCAGCCTGGTCTACAAGAGCTAGTTCCAGGATAGGCTCTAAAGCTACAGAGAAACCCTGTGTCAAAAAATAAAAAAGGGGGCATATGTACCTTATGAAAAATGATTATTCTCTTTTCCCTGCCAGAACTTAAGCTACAGTTGAATGTACAAAAATTATTGTTTCTCACTCTGGGCAACCAGGGAAAGAATACACATACTAAGAGAGAAGGAAACACACACAAGAAAAGCATTCTAGAGGAATTTATATTTCTATTCAGACACAGAAGGTTAAGTATGCATCTAAACTGGGTGGGGTTGGGAGTAAAGGTGGCAGAGATGTTTAAAAGCAGAAATGTCCAGGTGTCAGAACACGTGGAGACTGAAAACCTGGTGGGCACTTTAACATATTTAAGAAATAAAAGGTCTTGAACAGTTCTATTCATTTCCTTTACCTGTTTGGTTTCTCTTGTCTTTCTTTCAGGGATTTATTCATTTCCTCCCACTGTTTGTGTTTTTCTGGATTTCTTTAAGGGATTTATTCATTTTCTCTTTAAAGACTTCTATCATCTTCATAAAGTTGGTTGTAATGTCGTTTTCTTGTGCTTCGTCTGTCGTGAAATATTCAGGGGTTGCTGTAGAACAACTGGGCTCTGGTGATGCCATATTGCCATAGCTGTTCTTATACTGGCATCTAGGCATCTGAGTTTGGGTAATTACAAGTTTACATCCCAATTTCTGACACACAGGTTGATCACTGGAATTAAATTAAAGACCAGACATAAATCCACACACCTATGAGACACTCAATTTTTTTTTATAAGAAGCCAAAACTATACAATGAGAAAAACAAAACATCTTCAACAAATGGTGCTGGTCTAACTGGATGTTGGCATGTAGAAGAATGCCAATAGATCTACACCTATTACCCTGCACAAAACTCCAGTCCAAGGGAATCAAAGATCTCAACATAAAACCAGACACACTGAACCTGATAAAAGAGAAAGTGGGGAATAGCCTTGAATGCATTGGCACAGGAGACAGCTTCCTAAGCTGAACACCGATAGCGCAGGCTCTAAAATCAACAATAAAAAAATAGGATCACATGAAATTAAAAGGTTTCTGTAAGGCAAAGGACACTGAATAGGACAAAACGGTAGCCTACAAAGCAGAAGTGTTAGCATTTAGGCATCCTTACTGGCCTGCCTTAGGGTCCTGACTGGATATGTCCTTAACTGCAGTCACTAAGAGCACCTTCTGTGCATAGTTGCTACATTTCCTTTTAAAAGGTGGGCCTACTCACCTCCCGGTCTCTTCCTCTTTTTTTCCTCTCTCTCCTGCTGTCTTTCTCTTTCTTTCTCCCTCTCTCTCTGTTTTTCTTCTGCCACACTTGTCCCCAAAGACTGGTCTCTGTTCCCCTGCCTGCCCCCTTCTTTGCCTCCTTCTCTCTCCTTTTCCAACAAACTTCCTATGTGAACCTTGTTCATGGCATGACTTCTCTTTGTGCCATTTTTTAAAATCACAATGAAAATATTTTCATCAACCCCATTTCTGACAAAGCACTAGTTTCCAAAATATATAAAGAACTCAAGAAACTAGATATCAACAAACCACATAATACGATTAAAGATGGAGTACAGATATAAACAGAGAATCCTCAACAGAGGAGTCTCAAATGATTGAGAACCTCTTCAGGAAATGTTCAGCATCCTTAGCCATCAGCGAAATGCAAGTCAAAACGACTCTGAGATTCCATCGTACACCTGCCAGAATGGCTAAGATAAAAAACAGAAGTGACAACGCTTGCTGGCAGGATGTGGAGAAGGTGAAAACTCCTCCATTGCTGATGGGAGTGCAAACTTAAACAGTCCCTTTGGAAATCATTATGGCAGTTACTCAAAAAATTGGGAATCCATCTACCTCAAGACCCAGGTATACCACTTCTGGGCATATGCCCAAAGGATGCTTCATCCTATCACAAAGACACTTGAACTCAACTTTGTTCATAGAAGCTTTATTTGTAATAATCAGACATTGGGGAGAGCCTAAAGGTTCCTCAGCTAAAGAATGGATTAAAGAAAATGTAGTACATTTACACAATGGAATATTACTCAGTTGCTAAAAAAATAATAATAATATCATGAAATTTCCCAGAAAATAAATAAAACTAGAAAAAAATTTTCCTGAGTGAGACAGCCCAGACCCAGAAAGGCAAACATGGTATATACTCAGTTATAAGTGGATATTAGCTATAAAGTAAAGGAGAACCATGCTACAGTCCATAGAGAAGCTAAGCAGCAAGGAGGGCTCAAACCAGGGAACACGTGAATCTCTCTGGGAAGGGGAGATACAGTAAAAATCAAAGGGTGCCTGAAGGTGGGTACAGGTGGGAACAGGAGAGATCAAATAGGGGGAGAATAGAGGGAGAGACAACTGGAGTTGAGGGCAGCATCTTGGGAGCAAACTAGAACCTAGTATAATGGAAACCCCCAGGAATCTATGAGGGTGACTACTGTGGGACAATGGTCTTGTACCCTGTAAAGATTTGTCACTTTATTGGTTTAATAAAATGCTGGTTTAATAAAGTCTGGCAAGAAGTATAGGTGTGGCAACTAAAATAAGAGAATTCTGGGAAGAGAAAAGGTTCAGTCTACAGGCGTCACTCAAATGCAGAGGAAGCATCTGATGAAAGGTACCAAACCATGTGACTAACACAGGCAAAAATTATGGGTTAATTAAAGATAGAAGAGTTAGTTAATAAGAAGCTTGAGCTACTAGACCAACTAGTTTATATAAACCTCTGTGAGTTTCTTTGAAACTGAATGGTTGCAGGTCCGGGCTGGACAGAAACCTCTGTCAATAGGTGACCCTATTGAAGACTTCTACTAATGGATATGGAACCTGAACCAGTCATTTCCTGTCCCCAGGCAGAACTTCCAGTGGAGGGATTGGGACACCAGCCCAACAACAAAACCTTTGACCTACAATTTTTCCTGCCTCCAAGATATGCTGGAATAAAGGTGGTGCAACAATTAGAGGAGTGGGCAACCAATGGTTGATCCAGCTTGAAACTCAGGCCATGAAAGGGAGTCTATTCCTAATACGACCTGGAAGACCAGGAACCAGAGGTTGGATGGCCCAGAGATCCAGGAGAGCACCAAACACCAAGGTGGGGAGTGGGGGGTAGAGTCAATGAAATGATTTCTAATGATACTCTGCTATATGTGTAGACAGGAGTCCAGCACAGTCATCATCAGGGGCAGCATCAAGCAACTGATGGAAAAGAGACCAAAACCAAACATTAGGCAGAGCTCAGAGACTCTTGTAGAAGGGGATGGGGGATGGGCAGAGAGCAAGGATTGCAGCATTCAGAAGGGTCAAGAACATCACAAGAAAACCCACAGAATCAACTCTACTGGGATCATAGAGGCAGACAGAGACTGAACTGAAAATCACAGAGCCTGCATAGGTCTAGGCTCTGCATATATGTTATGATTGTGTTCCTTGGTCTCTGTGGGACTCCTAACAATAGGAGAGGCGACTGTCTCTGACTCTTTGGGGATACTATTCCTCATACAGAATTGCTTTGTCTAGCCTT